TGGGCAGTGACAAACAGTGCGTGGAGCAGGAGCGGTACCAGCCTGGTATGTTTCCTCCCCCAGTCGGCTATGATGCGTGCTGCGACGATCCTTCTGACTCGTGCCATGCTGTGTGCGTGCTGGCAGGGTAGGCCTCGAGCAGGACGCCACTGCTGTAATGTCATGTTGCTGTGTGCATTCATGCAGACACAGTATATCCAGCTGCCAAAGGCAATTCCGCCACCGTGTCAGCGTAGTATTCTTGGTGGTGGCTATTGGAGAAAACACGGGAGGCCGTCACTTCTGACAACTCGGGCATCTCGAAGGCCTTGCGAGCATGTTGGGTGCCTTTTGTGGGGCTCTTGGGAGCGCCTCAGGGGTGCTTCGGAGGCTCTTGGGGGGCTCCTTGGGCCGTCTGAGGGTGCTCTTGGGCCATCTGGGCACTTTCGAAGTCCGTTTCGGGGGGCTATCTGTAGCATTGGGGCCCTCTTTTTGGGCTTCGAGGGCCGTCTGAAGGCTCCAATGTGCCGACCCAGGGTCCTCTTGGACCGCTCGTGGGCCATCTTGGAACCCTCTTGCGCCGCCTGGGGGCCCTCTTGAGGCCTTCGTGGGCCGTCTTGAGGCCATCTTGGAGGCGTCTTGGGCCGCCTTTAGCTCACGGACGCCCGAAACTGTGAGAATTCGAACATCCATCACACACCGAAGGAACGCACATGGGTTTAGCCTCTTCTGACAATGCTGGAGGCTCCTTTCGAACCCCCTTGCGCCGTCTTGAGAGTCTATTGCAGGCCATCTTGTACAGTCTTGAGACTATATCGGGCCGTCTTGGAGACATATCTCGGGCCATCTTGGTGGCCTTGGAGGCTTTCCTGGGCCATCACGTCGAGGCACCTAGGGAGCCTCGGGAGAAGGGTGTGGCCCTTTGAAGACCCCTGCCAGGCAGCGCTTGGTATTCTTCCACACCTCAACGTGCCAGGGGCACGGTGGCGGATTATCCAGCTCTTACGGGAGGTCCCGCCACCGTGCCTGGTTGCAGGCATGAAGGTTATTTGATGTTCTTTGGGATCTCGTGGGAGGCCTTTCGGGTGCCCCTTGGAGGCAGTCTTGGGGCCTCTCGGGGGTAGTTTTGGGGCCTTTCGGGGCATGTGTTGGGCCTCTTGGGGGCCTGTTGGGGCCTCTTGGGGGCCTTTCGGGGCCCCCGGGGGCCTCCTGGGGGCCTCTTAGGGCGGAAGGATCGGATTTTCGGTTCGTGTTCTCTCTCTCTTGGGCCTCTGTTGGGGACTTCTTGGGGCCCTCTGGGGCTTTCCTGGGCGCCTTGGCCGTCTTGGGGGGCTCTTAGGCAGTCTTGGGGCCCTCTTGGAGGCATCTTGGGCCGTTTTGGAGTGGTCTTGGTACGGCCTCTTGGGCCGTCTGGGAGCGTCGGGAAGCCGAAAATGCGATACAGCCAACATCTTTTCAACAACCACAGGAACACCATGTTTTTTTTTGCCTCTTGGGGCCCTCTTGGGAAGCCTCCTGGAGGCCTCTTGGGGCGTCTTGGAGGCCTCTTGGGCCATCGGAGGGCATCTTGGGCGTCTTCGAGCGATCGTTCGGCGACTCGGGGCCCTCTTGAACCGTCTTGAGGGCCTCCTGGGCCATCACTGAGGCTTTGGAGTTCCAGGGAGGCGCAATCGTCGCCCAGGGACCCCCCAGAAGTAGGGGTGGTGCAGATGGTTGGGTGCTTCCCGCGGAGGTTTTTTTTTAAAAAGACTACAGAAAATCCACCAGGCAGCCTTTGGTATTTTTCCAAGCCTCAACGTGCTGCAGGCACGGTGGCGGATTATCATGAGCACCGTGAGCGTATCACGGCCTTAGAAGCGCATGGTGTTGATGCGTGTCGTGCGTGAGCCTCGCTCAGCGCAGGGCTGGCTCAAGTTCTTCACGGCGGCAGACAGCTTATCAGGCGCCGCTGCAGCGTTTTGAGCTGGGACGACCCTGCGCTTGCATGCGGGTGTGGGCCCCCTTATCGCTGCACGCATCGGGTGGCCAGTAGATCAAGCCCCGGGCGGGCCGCCTGTTGAAGGGATGCTCGACGGAGGTGCTTTCCTGCTGGCACAGGCACTTGCAGTTCGTCTGCCCACTGCGGGCCTCAGGTTCGGGGGTGTCGACGCGGGGTCAGCTCAAGACTCAAGGAGCTTCTCACGGCGGCAGACAGCTTATCAGGCGCCGCTGCAGCGTTTTGAGCTGGGACGACCCTGCGCTTGCATGCGGGTGTGAGCTCCCTTATCGCTGCACACATCGGGTGGCCAGTAGATCAAGCCCCGTGCGGGCCGCCTGTTGAAGGGATGCTCGACGGAGGTGCTTTCCTGCTGGCACAGACACTTGCAGTTCGTCTGCTCACTGCGGGCCTCAGGTTCGGGAGTGTCGATGCGGGGTCAGCTCAAGACTCAAGGAGCTTCTCACGGTGGCAGACAGCTTATCAGGCGCCGCTGCAGCGTTTTGAGCTGGGACGACCCTGCGCTTGCATGCGGGTGTGAGCCCCCTTATCGCTGCACACATCGGGTGGCCAGTAGATCAAGCCCCGGGCGGGCCGCCTGTTGAAGGGATGCTTGACGGAGGTGCTTTCCTGCTGGCACACGTGCTTGCAGTTCGTCTGCCCACTGCGGGCCTCAGGTTCGAAAGCGTCAGCGCAGGGTCAGCGCCGAGCGCAAGTCTCAAGAAGCCTCTCAAGGCGGAAACCATTCAAAGATTTCAGGGAATGCTCCACGGCTTTGCCTCGTGGGGCCCTCGCGGAGTGCTCATGTAGACCTCTGTGGGCGTCTTGAAGGCGTCTCGGGCCGTTTGGAGGCCATCTTTGGCGTCTTGGAGCGATCTTTTGCGGACTGAGTCCTCTTTGAGCCCCCCTTGGATTATCTTGGACCTGAAGTGCCGCAGGAGGGCCAACTTCGCTCGAAGGCTTCCCGAAAAGGGCAGGCGTGGGGACCCCCCCTCGGGATCCCCCCCATGACCCCCCACATGACCCCCCCCCCCTGGGGTGGGGAAGGGATCTAAGGAAAGGTGTTTCACTTCGACTCAGTTGCGACTTCGACTGTGATCTGGCTCGATTCAACTCGAGTTGACGAGCTCGGCGCGCCAACGAGGGGCTCGGGAAAGTCTCTGGGAATGGAAAAGCACATCGAATGACGACCGTGGCTGACGACGACACCGGGACGACAGACTCCCCTTCGCACACGCCGACACAGGTCAGAGGGAAAAATCACACAGACACAATTAATCGTCGATCCTCAGAAAATATGGGAAACTATGGGAGGTGGGGGGGAAGACGAAAACCCAGAACATGTAGGACAATATGGGGACTCCTGTTATTTTTGTGTATTTATTTGTGTGTCCCAGGGCCCCCTCAACAGGGTCGGCGGAATTGTTTGGGGGAGAAGGCAGGTGCCAGGTCGGCGGAGCGGTCCAGCTCCTCAACTCGGGTGTGCTGGTTCCTCGCGCAAGCTCTTTGCCATGCCATGCTACGCTTAAGTCGGGCCTGTTCCTCTACAGGAGGAATATTCAAAAACAGTTAAAAGTAGCCTGGGGCCGACTTTTCGATTATTTTGCCCATATGGGGGGGTATTTCTTGAGTATCTTTTATATTTCGCCCAAAATCCCCCTGCAGGGGGACGCGCCCGATTTATTGCTACGCTGTGCCATGCGATCCTACCATTATGTGCTGTGGTATGCAGTGCCATCCTGTGCTGTGTTTTGCAATACCACAGTGCGCAATCGAGGACGCCTGCGGCGAGTCACCGCCGCCCCCTGCCTTTTGGAATCGACCATGTGGCCGAGCATTGTGGCAAGAGTTCTGCCAAGCTATCGGTCAATGTGTTCCCGCAACCGTTGTGGAAACCCTTCGGGGAACAGTTGTGGAAGGACGGCGAGGAAGATCAGGAGGATGAGGAGGAGGAGGCGGAGGAGGAGGAGGAGGGAGGAAGAGGAGGAGGAAGAGGAGGAGGAAGAGGAGGAGGAGGATAACGATGATGAGGAGGAGGGGGAGGAGGAACAGACAAGATGAGGCAGTAATCGAGGCGAGCCTGGCGTCAGTATGTACAGAGCGGTGAAATCGCTTCAGGATGCGTATGATAGGCCTGCCAGTGGCTGCCGCTGTAAGGACGGCTGTCTCTGGCCGACAGCGGGACACTAAAAGGAGAAGACCATGCTGCCCGAGAGCGGTATCATTCTTCCGATTCAGAAGGGAAGAGAAGGAGTGATATAGGCAGAAGGAAGAGGCGGAGGATGATGAGGAGGAGGAGGTCCTCTCTCCTCCCTCCCTGTCCCTCCTTCCTTATCTATCCATCCCTCCGTCCCCCCTTCGTTTCTTTGTCCGCCGTCCCTCCCTCCCTCTGTCCCCTCCCCCCTGCCCCCACCTCGGCCCCCCCATTTCTCCCACCGCCCTTTCCGCCTCCCTTCCCTTCAGCGGTCCCTCTCTGACGTCCAGCACCGTCCCCGTTTGGAGTTTCCCGCCCAGGGCCGCCCGATGACACCTCCGCCGTCAGCCTCGGCGGCCCGGGGGCAGTCCCTGGCGTGCCGGCCGCGCTCGGCGGTGTGCCAGTCGGCAGCGCAGGCTTCTCGCCAGGCGAGTCGCCGCCGACATCGGTCGAGAGACACCGCTCCTGCTGCAACCATCAGGAGCTGCGGAAACATGAAGCAGTGGAGTGCGGCTTTGAGCTTGCTCCGCGATGTGTCACAGTCTCGCACACGAGCGAGTGCAGCCCTTTACACTGCTGTCATTGGGGCCTGCGGAAGGGGGAAGGAGTGGCAGCAGGCGCTGGGATTGCTGAGTGAGTTCTTGGAGGCAGAGCTGGAGCTGGACGCAACAATCTGCAGTGCTGGTATCGGCGCATGCGAGAAGGTTGGGGAGTGGCAGCAAGCATTGTTGTTGCTCGAGGACATGGGTGACGCGAACTTAGAACAGGACGTCATAAGCTTCGTTGTTGGACTCAGCGCGTGTGCGAAGGGTAGGCAGTGGCGGCAGGCATTGATGTTGCTCAGAGAAATGGATGAAGCATTATTTGAGCCTGATTTTATTGTAGTGGCCTTCGGCCAGTGCCGCCGATCCGGGGCGCTCCGACTGATGTGATCCTTCTTCGCCCTCGTCCCTCCTCTCTTTTTCCCTCCCCTCCTCTCACTCAGCATTTATCCAGTGGCCGTCGGCCTATCCCGCCACCGTGCGTGGGTGGTGGGTCAGAGGCCTCATGGATGCTGGTTGGGATCTCGTGGTTGGCTGGGACTTCTGGGGGCCTCTTGGGCGCCTCTTGGGGCTTCTTGGGGGCCTCTTGGGCCTCTTGGGGCCACTAGAGGGCCTCTTGGGGGTCTCTTGGGAGCCTCTTGGGGCTTCTTGGGGGCCTCTTCTGCGCCCCTTGGGGCCTCTTGGAGGCCTCCTCGGAGCCTCTTGGTGCGGGAGGGGTGGTACTCGAGTTCGGAACCCCCTCGGAGGCCACGATCCTTGTGAGGGGTGTCAAAAAACGCATCCGCCGGAAACTCGCACCCCCCCCCCCCACCCCCCCTTCCCCGGCAGAGCCACCCCGGCAACCCCCCCAGAGGCTGAGGCTCAGCCTCGAGGCTGTAGCTGAGACTCCTTGAAACTCACACGCCGGATCGGCGGATTAGTCATAGTGCCGCCATGAGCGCGTGTGGATCATGTGGGCGATGGCAGCAGGCGCTCTTGCTGCTCAGCAAATTATTGGGAGTGCGGCTGAGGCCAGACGTAATCGCCCTCAATGCCGCGATAAGCGCGTGCGAGAAGGGAGAGCAATGGCAGCAGGCGCTGTTGCTACTTCGAGACGTAAGTGAACTGAGACTAGAACTGAACGCCATTGGGTGTAGCGCTGGAATCAGTGCTTGCGGGAAATGTGGGCAGTGGCAGCGAGCTTTGTCGCTGCTCGACGAGATGCGGGAGGCGAGTTTGGAGCCCACTTTGATCAGCTATAATGCTGCAATCAGCGCGTGCGCAGAAGGCGAACAGTGGCAGCACGCACTACTGCTGCTCAGTGATGTGCTCGAGGCGAATCTGGAAGTGGACGTAATCGGCTGCAGCGCTGGAATTAGCGCGTGCGGAAATGGTGGAGCTTGGAGGCAGGGTCTGTCGCTGCTCCGCCACATGCAGGGAGCACAGTTGGAGCTGGGCGTCGTCAGCTACAGCGCCGGAGTCAGCGCATGTGACAGAGCTGGCCAGTGGCAACAGGCGCTGATGCTGCTCAGAGAGATGGGAGACGTCAGAGTGCAGCCCAACGTGGCGAGCTACGGCGCGGGGATCAGCGCGTGCGAAAAGGGGGGCCAGTGGCAGCATGCGCTTTCGTTGATCAGGGGAGCTCGCTCGCTGCTGGACGTCGGCTGCTTCAATGTCGGAGTCCAAGCATGCGGAAGAGACGGACACTGGCAGCAGGCGCTGCTGCTGCTCAGTGAGCTGCGGGCACTGCGGCTGGAGCCCGACATCGTCAGCTACAGCGCTGCAGTGAGCGCGTGCGGAAACGGCTGGCAGTGGCAGCGCGCGCTTCTTCTGCTAGCTGAGATGGTGGAGGCTAAAGTGGAGCCAGACGCCATCCTAGGGAGCCCCAAGGAACGGGTGAAACGCGCACACTAACTCGTCGATCCTTATCTTCTGCCTGCTCCCAAGGCAGCAGTATTTTGAGGGAGCCTGGGGGTGTGGGAGGAGAGAACTCGTCAAGTTTATGCAGATTTCGTCGCCTGCTTTTTCTGCCCCCTACATCAGCTTTAATGCTGGAGTCAGCGCGTGCCAGAAAGGAAGCGTGTGGAGAAATGCGCTGTGGCTCCTCAGAGAGATACGTGAGGTTTTGCTGGAGCCCGACATCGTGGGTTACAGCGCTTCAATAAGCGCGTGCGAGCAAGACAGGCAGTGGCAGCAGGCGCTGTTGCTGCTCTTCGAATCGATGGAAAAGCAGTTGGAGCCGAACGAATTGACCTACAGCGCTGGAATCGGCGTGTGCGGGGCCAGCGGGCAGTGGCAGCAATCGCTGTCTCTGCTCAGCGAAATGCACGAAGCGAGGTTGTCGAGCGCTTTCGGCCACAGTGCCGGAATCAGCGCGTGCGGGGACGCTCAGCTGTGGTCGCAGGCGATCTCGCTGCTCAGAGAAGCAGAGACGCTAAAACTGGAGCTGGACGTCGTTTGCTACAGTGCTGGCGTCAGCGCTTGCGAGAAGGGCAGGCAGTGGCAGCAGGCGCTGTCGCTGCTCGGCGAGGCGCGGCGGGCGAGGCTGGGGCCAAACATCGTCTGCTGCGGCGCCGGAATTGGCGCGTGCGCGGTCTGCGGGAAGCCGCAGCAGGCGCTCTCGTTGCTCGGCGAGATTCGGGAGGCGGGGCTAACGCCTGACGTGATCAGCCAGGGGCGGGAAACGGAGGACCATGGTAAGTGGGGAGCGGAGGATCTAGGGGAGGTGGGGCAGGGAGGCGAAGGGGCTAGCGCGAGAAGCAGCAGAAGGATGGAGAGTAGGCTGAGGATGATGACTATGGTGGTGCTGGTGGTCGTGAAGGTGGTTGTGGTGATGATGTTGTTGACGTTGATGCTTATGTCGATGCCGATATCGATGTTGCTGCTGTTGAATACTCATTTCGAGAGAAAATGATTGTTGATCTCTAGAAACGGTTCCGCGCGCTCTCGCCTCGACGCCGGTTGCAGTTCTTCTGAAAACGAGGCTTCCGCTCGAGCGCGGGCTTGAGTGTAAATGTTCCCCCTGGAGACTCGGCTACAACGACAACGGTTCCCGCTCGATACTTCCTCACAGTTACCCCGAGACACCCTGGCCAGAGAGGACTCCGAATTCAGGAACGGCGGTCTCGCTCGAGACTGCCTCGCAATTCAATCAAGTTGGCGGAGGCCCAGCCACGACGACAAGGGCTCCTGCTTGATACTTCCTCACGATTTACTCCAAGAGCCTCTGGCCAGGAAGGCCCCCAAACTCAGGAACGGCGCTCTCGCTCGAGACTTTCTCGCGATTCAGTCAAAATGGTGGAGGCCCAACCACGACGACAAGGATTCTCGTTCGATACTTCCTCAAGATGTATTCCCAGAGGCCCTGGCCAGAGAGGCCCCTGAACTCAAAAGTGGCGCTCTCGCTCGAGGCTTTCTCGCAATTTCCGGCGAATTGGTGGAGGCCCAGACACGGCGACAAGGGTTCCCGTTCGATATTTCTCAATATGTATTCCGAGAGGCCCTGGCCAGAGAGGCCCCCGAACTCAGGAACGGCGCTCTCGCTCGAGAGTACCTCGCACATCAGTCAGTGGCCGACAAGGAAGATATTCCCCTCCGACGGGGGCTGCGATCGAAAACGAAATGGGCGGGTATCGAGCGTTGGGGTATACAGAATGCAAGACACGCGTGTCCGTAAAAACGAACAGTCTTAAACTGATTGTTTTTGTTGTTGTTGCTGTTGTTGTTGCTGTTGCTGTTGCTGTTGCTGTTGCTGTTGAACATTATTTATTCTAAAGAATAATTATTGTTGGGCCCCCTGGTGCGCGCCCCCCCTGCGCCGCCTAGGCCGCAGCTACATTTTCATCATTTTCGTGAGGAAGCCTCAGAAAAGAGGGTGTGTACAGGATCCGGTTGTTTTGTTGTAATCCGCTTTCCCTTGCAAAAAACAATAGAAAATGACATTTCTTGTTCTAATATAATCAAATTTCAAGAATCCCTTGCAAAAAATAAGGTAAAGTGGACATTCGCGCGCGCAAGACGAAATCCTTCCAAAAGCTTAGTGTTCGGAGCGATTTTAACATAAAAACATCAAAAAACCAATGGTTTTTCAACAAAAAAATGTCAAAATCTCATCCCGCGCGCTCTTGCGGATTCGTAGGAAACCCAACACTTTTTAAACATTTCTGTCAAACGGGCTTTTGCGAGCAACTTTTTCGAACTTCTGCGACAACGGTTGCGCACCTGCCAGGGCCATCATCCCTGTCAAATAATACCATGCGGGACACATTCGTTTTTTCTTCGCGCGCGCACGCCGAAATCTCCAAAAACCATTGGGCTTCTTAAGAATTTTAGCACCGCGCATCATAAAATCACACGAATCGCACCGTAGGCAAAAACATGCAAGACTTAAAATTTCTGCGCGCGCTTAACAACTTCTGTGGGTGTGTACTCCACGCCAGTGTAGTAGCCACGGTCGTCCGCAGGCCACGAAGTGAAGTGTCCGAACGTCATAGGGCGGGAAGCTGGGTGTGGGTGGTGGCGAAGAGTCGTGTGGATATTTGGTAGAGCTTGCACTGCCCCCCCACAAAGTGGGGGTATTGGCTGGCGTCGCATGAAAACCCTGGCACTGGTGAGAACACTGAGCGTTCGGGTAAAGTGATTGTTGTTGTTGTTGATGTTGTTGAACATTATTAATTCTAAAGAATAATTATTGTTGGGCCCCTGGTGCACGGCCCCCCTGCGCCGCCTAGGCCGCAGCTACATTTTCATCATTTTCGTGAGGAAGCCTCAGGTAATACGATGTGATCAAGATCCGGTTGTTTTGTTGTAATCCGTTTTCCCTTGCAAAAAACACTATAAAATGACATTTCTTGTTCTAATATAATCAAATTTCAAGAATCCCTTGCAAAAAATAAGGTAAAGTGGACATTCGCGCGCGCAAGACGAAATCCTTCCAAAAGCTTAGTGTTCGGAGCGATTTTAACATAAAAACATCAAAAAACCAATGGTTTTTCAACAAAAAAATGTCAAAATCTCATCCCGCGCGCTCTTGCGGATTCGTAGGAAACCCAACACTTTTTAAACATTTCTGTCAAACGGGCTTTTGCGAGCAACTTTTTCGAACTTCTGCGACAACGGTTGCGCACCTGCCAGGGCCATCATCCCTGTCAAATAATACCATGCGGGACACATTCGTTTTTTCTTCGCGCGCGCACGCCGAAATCTCCAAAAACCATTGGGCTTCTTAAGAATTTTAGCACCGCGCATCATAAAATCACACGAATCGCACCGTAGGTCCTCGAAAAACACCTGCACGACTTTTCAAAATTTCTACCCGCGCGCGCTGTCCGAATCCTAAAAAAACCAATGGTTTTCCAACATTTATGTTACATGAGCTCGCGCGAGCTACTTTCGCACGCTCTTCTGTGGGTTAACAAGGCTTAACAACTTCTGTGGGTGTACGAACGTAGGCTTAACAACTTCTGTGGGTGTGTACTCCACGCCAGTGTAGTAGCCACGGTCGTCCGCAGGCCACGAAGTGAAGTGTCCGAACGTCATAGGGCGGGAAGCTGGGTGTGGGTGGTGGCGAAGAGTCGTGTGGATATTTGGTAGAGCTTGCACTGCCCCCCCACAAAGTGGGGGTATTGGCTGGCGTCGCATGAAAACCCTGGCACTGGTGAGAACACTGAGCGTTCGGGTAAAGTGATTGTTGTTGTTGTTGTTGTTGTGGTTGTTGTTGTTGTTGTTGTTGTTGCTGTTGTTGATGATGATGTTGTTGCTGCTGTTGTTGTTGTTGTTGTTGTTGTTGGCGTTGTTGTTGTTGTTGTTGTTGTTGATGCAGTTGTGGTTGTGGTTGTGACTGTGGATGTTGTTGTTGTTGCTGTTGTTGTTGTTGTTGTTGTTGTTGTTATGATTTTTGGTTGTTGATGCTGCAGACGAGAGCGAACAGTCTTAAACTGATTGTTGGTGAAATTTCATTTGTAAAGAACTATGGTTGTTGATCCCCCTGCGGTAACACAAGTCATTTTCAATCGAAATGCCCATTCTAGGGCTCGCTCCTTGTTTTTACGAGGGAAACTCTTGGGTGTCAGATGGCGCCTCCAGTTTACAACAACAATGGTTCCCGCCTAGTACTTCATGACATTATTGAGACGTCGGGCTTTCGCTAAGAACTTCGCAGTTCATTCATACGCCGCGCCCACGACACTCAGCAATCACGCTCTCGCTGTGGACTTCCTCGCGATTTGCTTGGGGATCGAACTATCGCTGGAGACTTCCCCCCTGGCCGTCTGGGATCGCCCGCCCGACCCGCCCCGTAGAGACCGCCCGCCCGACCCGCCTGTCTGGTTTTGCCGATTGTTTTCCTACTTCAACCCCCTCCTGCTAATACCTCTTGTGATTGAGCCATCCTTCTCCCTTTCCGCTGTTCCTTCCATCTTCCTCCCTTCGCGGTTTTAGGGGCTGCGCCAACTACACATGGGAGGTAAGGAAGATCTATTCCCAGGGGGGGGGGTACGATCATTGACGAAGAGGGCGGGTATTCATTTTGGGATATTCCCCAATCAGAGCTTGCCTCTAAAGGGGTCCTAGCGGATTCATATGGTTAGCTTAGCTGCGCCGCCGATTTTGGCGGCCCGCCCGGGTGCCGGGTACCTGGGTGCCCGGGTGCCCAGGTGCCCGGGAGCTGCGTTGCCGATTTCGGCACGCCCGGGTGCCTGGGTGCCCCATTGCCCTATAGCCCTATCGCCCTATAGCCCTATAGCCCTACAGCCCTATAGCCCTATAGCCCTCTAGCCCAATAGCCCAATAACCCTACAGTCCTATAGCCCTATAGCCCTATAGCCCTCCAGCCCTCTAGCCCTATAGCCCTATAGCCCTCCAGCCCTCTAGCCCTCTAGCCCTCTAGCCCTCTAGCCCTCTAGCCCTCTAGCCCT